TAGAGACAGGATGTAGTAGAAGGTTAACAGTGTTCAGGAGCCAGTTTGCTTGAGTTCAAGCCTGGCTCCACCAATTGCTATGACCTTGAACAAATTACTTACTTAACCTCTGCATTTCAGCTTTCCCATCTATGAAATGAGGATAAGAAATAAAATATATTTCATACATACCCTTGATGTAAAGATTAAATGAGTTAATTTATATATAACACTCAAAACAGTGACTGGCCTATACATAGCAAGGATGTATTTGCTGGGTAGAAAAAAAATCATAGTACAGCATAGCAATTATAGTGTGTAGAGAAGCATAACAAATCAATAAATAGTTACTTAAAATAATGGTATCACCCATGGCTGCTGTGGCTTAGTGGACTCAGCGCCAACCTGCGAACCAAAAGGTTGCCAGTTCAGTTCCCAGTCAGGGTACATGCCTGGGTTGTGGGCCAGGTCCTCAGGAGGGGGTGTGTGAGAGGCAATCAATGTATCTCTCACATATTGATGTTTCTCTCCTCTTTCTCCCTCCCTTCCCTTCTCTCTAAAAGTAAATTTAAAAAAAAAAGGAGCAGGCCAATGACCCTTGAGGCACAATTCCTTTAAAAAAATGACATCATTTATAGAAAGATATCAAAGCATTAAAAAAACAAGCTGCTGAACAGTATCAATATTAGAGTATGTATAATTGCCTCAACTGCGTAAAAAATATAGGTTTATATCACAGAAAATTTCTGGATTCCATCAAATGTTAATGACTACCAATGGTGATGCAGGTAAAGGAAGCAACAAGCAACTTAAATATGACATTTTGATTTTTTCAGGCATGGTTAGCATAATAATCTTCTTTAAAAAAGATAATTTTAGACTTAGGGCAGAGTTACAAAAGTAGTATAGAGTTTATATGGAATATAGAGTTTCACATACCCTTCACCCAGCCTTCCCTTGTATTAGCACTTAATAACAGATGCAAATAACAGAATTGAGGTCCTTAACCAGAGGTAATTTTGTTCCCCAGGAGACATCTGACAATGTATTTTTTTAAAAAGATTTTATTTATTTATTCTTTTTATTATTCTCCTCTAGGGAGGAGGAAGGGGAGAGAGAGACAGAAGAAACATTGATCAGTTGCTTCTCATATGCTCCCCAGCCCAGGACCAAACCTGCAACATAGGCACGTGCTCCGACCAAGAATTGAACCAGTGAGTGGCCTTTTGCTAGCAGGAGGAGGCCCAACGAACTGAGCCACACCTGTCATGGATTGACAATGTCTTAACATTTTTGGTTGTCACAAAAGAGGGGAGGGAAATGTTACTGGCATTTAGTGGGTAGAGAACAAGGATGCTGCTAAATAACCTATAATGCACAGCATCTACAACATAGAATTATCCAGCCCAAAATGCCAACGGTGCCAGAGCTGAGAAACTCTGCCATAGACTACCAAAGGAAAGAAGTCAACATTGGTGCAATACTATTAGCTAAACTAGACTTGAATCCACATTGTCACATCTCCTTAGTCTCTTCTGATATATGACAATTTTTAGGTCTTCCTTGTCTTGCACGATCTTGATGCTTTTGAATAGTAGAATGGCCCTGATTTTGATGTTTTGTCATGATGGGCTTTGTTGGGCATTTTCTCATGATTAGATTGAGGTTATACATTATTGGGAAGGATACCATAGAGACGATATAACTTCAGTGCATCATACCTAGTATGGGATGTATTCTTGGTTGTAGTAAGGTATTATTACACCGGTTGCAATAACAAATTACCCCACAATTTAGTGGCTTAACATTTATTTCCTCACAGTTTTTGTGGCTCAGGAATCCAGGCACAGTTTAGCCAGTGTCAGCAAGGGTGGCTGTGGTCTCATCTAAAGATTTGAGTGGGGCAGGATCTGCTTCTAAGCTCTCTCCTGTGTCTGCTGGCAGGATTCAGTTGCTAACAGGATATTAGTCTTAAGACTGCAGTTCCTTGCTGGCTACTGTTCAGCTCACAACATTAGCAGCTGGCTTTCATCAATGAACAGTTGAGAGAGCAAGACAGAAGCCAGTCTCCTTGCAACCTCATCTCAGAGGTGATATGCCATCACTTTTGCCATGTTCTATTTGTTCGAAGCTAGATTTAGCCTATACTCAAGAGGAAGGGATTACACAAGGGTGTGAATACACAAGGACAAGGGGATCATTAGGCACCACTTCAAAGGCTGCGTACCACACCTGAAATGTTAACTTTGATCATTTGGTTAAGGCAGTTTCCGAACTTACTATTGTAATGAATAAATACTTTAAGGAGATACTTTGAGACTGTGTGCTTTCAGCATGCCATCATCCTTTTTGTCTGGGCACTTCCTACTTCCTGACACCACACGGTGCTCCCTGCTCAGCTCATATCTTCCCTGCCCCTAGCTCTGGAAACAATCAGTTCTCCAAGAAACCCTGGCTTCTTTCATTGGAGAATGTTATTTAGACAACAAGACCTGGGTGTTGGGCATGCCCATTGCTAGTGTGGTGTCACTGCTTCTGGTCCCTCTAGGTGGAAAAAGCAAGGAAATAAATGTATACACACATATATCTGCATTGTCTGTATACACAGTAAATAAAAACCATGTCCACATGGATGCCTCCAGGTCTAATCCAGTCCTACAGGGTTCATTCTAAGCATACCCTCCCACCCACCGATCCTTATTTTATTTGTAACTTCTTTCTCCAGCAGTGAGAAACCTGGCTCTCATTATCTATAATATATTTACCCATTTGTTCAGCTGTGTGGACATACATGTACAAAGTTTCAGAACTGCTAAACCATACCCCTGCGAGGAACATATTTACCAGTATAGTGTTTTTGCACACTTTTTGTCCATAACCTTCTAGGACCTCATCATATACTACTTAAATTTTTTTCTAAGATTTTATTTATTTTTAGAGAGGGGCAAGGGGAGAGGGACAGAAACATGTGTAAGATCCATCGATTGCTTCTCACACCCTCCCCCCGTGGGGGACCCAGCCTGCAACTCACGCATGTGCCCTAACTGGAAATTGAGCCCGCAACCCTCCAGTGCTCAGACCAGCGCTCAGTCCTCTGGGCCACACCAGCCAGGGCCCACATCATACACTTTTCCCAGACTTAGGTCAGCTCTCATTCTCAGCCTCTTCAGTGCAGTCATGTGATTCATCTATAATACAGGCAGAATCATTTGATGGCCTGCATTCCATCTTTCTTCCTACATCTTTCTTGACAGGTGAAGAGTTCTGCCTCTACCACCACAGTGCCCTCCATACTGCCCTTTTATGTTTAAAAAAAGAGTATAACAAAAATCAATAAAAAATACTAATTAAAGAGTGGGATATATAACTTGTATGGATAGATGTCGAAACCATAAAAAAGCAAACTGCATGGTATGTGAATATTACAGAATATGTAATTATCCCAATTGTATAAAAACTATAGGTTGTGTTTCAGAAAATGTCTGTATTCACTCAAATATGTTAATGACTTCCCCCGGTGGGGGGGGTGGTTTAATATGAAACAATTTTAACATAACATCTGGATTTTTTTTTTACCAACAGATATTAGCATAGTTATCTGTTAAAAATAAAACTGAAGTTTATACCAATGCACTGAAAAAGTCCTGACCTAGGAGACTGCAGTGAGGAAAGGGGTTTCACTTTTAGTGTGCACTTTTCTATGCTGATGTGAATGTATAAGGAATCACCTTGTAAAGGCTGTCACGTAGGTTATTATTACATCTTTTCTTTTTTGCTTTATCTCAGGTTTTACATTTGTTAATTCCCTATATATGTATTTTTAATCAAATGTATTGGGGTAATACTGGTTAATAAAAGGCTGTCATGGAGCTATAAAATTTTGGTGTGGGGTTGTATTTCAACAGACAAGTAAAGGGGAGATTGAGCTGTAAGTGTAAGAGGAAGGGTACCCGGAAACCGGTATCTCTTAGGGACAGGAGGAAAGCCGACAGGTGGGTAGAGATGTGACTAATGGAGACCAAAGAGAAACATTCTCAACTGACTACAGGCCAGCAGCATCCTTGGCAGCTGGTGGGTTCACCTCCCAAGAAGCTTGGTGATAAAGAGGAGGCAGAGGCTGGGAGGAGCTTGGGGGGAAGGGAAGGAGCACTTGTCTGGACTTGACTGTGTACTGAGGTAGGATAGGGCAGGTCAGTGCAAGACCGGGGAGAAAGAATGGAGCTCCTGAGAAGGGCTCCAGTATATGGGTCTGGGAAAGAACAAGGCCAAGGTTCTTGGCCTTGGATCTATGGCTAGGGAAACAGAGATGGGGTGTTTGGCATCCTGTCTACTCACATCTTGGAGAAGGCTGGAGACAACTAATAAAACCACACAGCAGACATCCTGCTGTTTTAACTACATCATCTCATTGAGATATGAGCGTCATCATGGTACCCCATTTCAAAGAGGAAACTGAGGATCAAAGAAGCTGACTTCCTCAAATCCCACTACTAATGATCAGTCAAAATTCAGCCTATGCCACATTCTCTTGCTCTGTCCACTAGGACTTCATAAATGTCTGGCACTGTAGATGCTTAACCATGTTTTGTCTCATCTATACTTCACAACACGACAATGAACTATCAGTTCAAGTTTGGAAAAGGAGGTGAAGGCTTAGGGACGTTAAGTAACTTGTGCAGGGTTTCTGTTGGTATGAGAGCTGGGATTCTACCCACAGTCTGTCTGAATCCAGAACCTGTATTTCTAACTACTGTACTACATCTACTATTCCTACCCAGAGGCTCCTTGGTGTATCAGGACGAAAATCATCTCAGGATCTCCTGCCCTTCAGAAACCAATGGAAAGCCCCAGAGCGCTGGGCTTCCACACAGGGTTCCAGTCTACTGGCTTGCTCTTCCCTCACTGATCCAGTCAATCTCGAGCCCTTACTGAGTAGCTGGGCACTGAGGATATAGTGACAACAAGATGCCAGCCTCCCCTCCTTAAACAGCTCTCATTCAAAGATGACAACAGTGAAGCAATCTGCTTCTAAGTTTTTATTAACATGACTTTTTAAAAACAAGTATCCATACCAGTGTGGGGGTTGAGGGTGGGAGAAGTGGGGAGAGTTAGGCAGGGCAGAGCGTAGAGAAGAAATTCTGCTTTATTGGTAATAAAGCTCCAGGTTCATCCCATCGTGGATTTCATCTGAAGTAAAGGTGTTAAGGAATCCTTACTATGGGTTCGGTCCCCACCCTTTCATCTCTCATAGCTGGGACAGGGCAACTTGAGTGCTCAGCCTAGAGTCAAGGAAGCCATTTTGTACTGGGTCATTTTGATATGAAAAGAATCCAAACTATTTAAAAAAAAAAAGCTCATGCTTCGTTTGCACAGCTGACTCACTCCACCCTGACCTCTTGTCCACACTAGGTGGAGCTCAGTAATAAATATTTTGACCTTAAAGTGTCTTCTAAGCCTCGAAACATTTAACAAGGAAACCACCCTCCTCCTCCAACAAAATGATCACGTGACTCCCATTTTCTAAATGCTTACCATGTGCTACATACTAAGTTAAACATCTTATTGCATAATCTCAGACTAAGTATTGAACAAAGAGAACCAGGATGCGGTGTGTGGACCCTTCCTCAAGAAATCACACAAAGGATACAGTCCCCCAGAGAAACATGGTCCTTAAAAATCGTGTACCTGAAAGACAAATAGCATATGATTTCACCTATAAGAGGAATCTAATGAACAAAATAAACTAATGAACAAAATAGAACCACAGGCATGGAAATATGGAACAGAATGAAAGTGACTAGAGGGGATGGGGAGGAGGATAATGATGGAAAGAAGGGGAAGGGACTAGACAAAGAACATGAAGGAATGATTTATAGACATGGACAACAGTGTGGGAATTGGCTGGGGGAGCCGGAGTGGGATGGGCAGAGGGGGGCAGAGGGGGAAAATTGGGCCAACCATAACAGAATAACAACAACAACAAAAAGATTGGAAAAAAAGTGAAAAGAAAACCAAAACAAAACAGGTGTACCTACGGGACAGCAACCTTTCAGACAGAAACCCGAGGCGGCTCTTCACCCTGGAGGTCAGCTAAGGAAGCCCTGCCTAAGCAAAGGGCTGTCTGCAGCACTCCTCCAGCCCAAACATTCTGATGTAGTCCTGCCCAGTCAGTCCCCCAGTCCTGTCACTGCACTCACCACTTCTTTAATACGATCTTGTTCCAACGGGTACCCGTTTGGGCTGCGATCAGCTTCTTAAGGTCCCCGATGGTGTCATCGGTGCTGGGCGCAAAGGAGTTAAGGAAAACGGTTCGGAGTAGTAGAAGGCAGAAGAGGGCACTGCAGGGCTGAATGCACTTTGCCAGGACCCCATCCACCCCCTCTGCAACACAGACTGAGTTGTCTTACTCCATGCATCCCCAGGGACCACTGTCTCTCTGCCACCAGTGGATACTTGCACTTTACGCGGACCTTCTTCCCCAGACGGTCGTTGCAAACAACCTCGATCATCCTGTCTGGAACTACAGAGGGCAGTACCTGGGAAGCAGCAGAGGCGGGACGTCAAAGTCTCCCAGGCCCCAAGACCTCCGGTTTAGACTTAGGTTCACTTCCCAACCCCCCAGACGCGAGTCCTCCGGGACCCCCAGTTCCGTGTCCCAGGACCGCGGATTCCACCTAGCCACACCTCCCCCCTTTCAGGTCCCCTCTCTCGGGACTGTAAACCGTCGATAGCCGGGTCCCGACAGCTTTTTCTGACTCCAGACCACTCTACCTGGCCGCTCACCTCGAATCGCCTAGAACCTCCCAACGCCACCTCCTAGTCGTGGGGAAACCTGTGTCTAGGCCAGAGTTTAGGATGAGAACCGGAAGCGGAAGTGCGCAGTTTAAAGCGCCCGCCCCTTCCCCGGTGCCGGTTAACACCCCATTGAATTCTTTGCTCTATCACACCAGCTTAGGCTTGCGGTCCTCAGGCGCGGTTTTGGGGTCCCCAGATTAGGTAGGGGAAACTTGCAATTGGTGCCTGGGGCCGAGTGGGGTCCCAGCCTGTGGAAGGCCGGGGGAAGGGACGTAGAGGGGAGTCAGAGGTCAAGGGTCAGGGCTCAGCTGATTGAGGCCCCATTTGCTGTGGGGAGACACCGTTAGTTGGTGGGGACTCTAGGGGGCCCGGGTGACCTGCTGTTCCTGAGCCTGCCGGTGCCTCTTACTGCAGCTACGGGGCCTACGGGGAGCCGGGTCGAGTCCCGCTCTCTGCCTTCATTCTAGGTTGGGCCTCCCCTCTGGGGTGCAGACTAGAGTCGATAAGCGAAGGAACGGAACCGCCAGATTCTGGATCCTCACCCGGATACCAGCACTTACTGGAATGGACGTTGCACGCTGACGGCAACAGAAGCGAGGAAGGTGGAAATGGCACAAATGCAAAATCTTCCAGGTTTTTATTTTCAACAAAGGTAGCTTACGCCCTCAAGGAAGCACTTTGTAAATCTCAAACATACCTTGTAGCCCCTGTACTACAGGCTGGTTCCCCAGGGCTGGTGCGACAGGGGACACCCCTCCCTATGTTCGGTGGATGAAAGGGAGTTCTAAGGACAGTAACCTTATAGGGTGATCTGATTATAAATTCCAAACTGAGAGGTCATAGTGGGTAGTCTAGTCTCGGGCATAGAACGTTTTAGTAAAAGGTTTACTTTGCTTTAAGCCAGTACTGTCCTTTGTTTCCGAGAATCTAGGGTAATACACCTTTGTAATGAACTTCACCACGATCAAGAGAGCACATAATCTTGTTAACTATCCTGTAATCCAATCTCTGCCTTTCCTTTCTCTCTTTGCTGGTTCCCTCCTTAATTTCAAATGCATAAGAGCTGCAAAACTTGCTCTGTGGAGCATTTGAGATCTTCCCAGCATGTTGTCAGTTTGACTCAGATAAAGTCTTGTAAAAATTATCTACAAGTTTGAATGTTTCTTATGTTGATACCACAAGATAAATTGCTGAGGCCTATTTTCCTTGGTACTTTTTGGTATTTGCCCAGAATATCTACAGTGAACATGTTACATTTGTAATGGGGTGAGGGTGGGGTAGTAAATGTGAGTTGTTTCTTAGCCCTTGCCTGAGGACATTTTTCATTACTTTTAGAGAGAGAGAAAGAGGGGATGAGAGAGAGAAACATTGATGTGAGAGAGAAACATCCTCCCTTATAAGCCCCGACCAAGGATCGAACCTGCAACCTTCTGACTGGGAATCAAACCTGCAACCTTCTGGTGTACAGGAGGATGCTTCAACCAACTGAGCACACTGGCCAGGGCTGTTAGTATTTTTTGTTGTTTTTTTAAGGAAGTTCTAATTTCTCAATGTTAATCATCGATAGCTCAAGCACAGGATCATGGTGCTGAGTTATGGGCTGGGGGAGATTGGAAAGGGGTGGGGAGTGTTTTGGAAAGGGGAGGGAAAGAAGGCGGAGGTTGCTGGGGGCTTGGGATCCATGGGGAGTTCCCGCTGGGCTAAACCATCCTGAGTGGGGCAGGCAGTGGGAAGTCCCAGTACTAGACTGCCAATGCGACAGACACTCTCCTGAACCCAGGTTAGAGGGGGAGGGGGCCTCAGGGGACAGGACACCACACCCAGGTGTAATTTTAATTTGGGGCTTCTTAGGAAGGGGCTCAGTGATTGCACATTGAAGGGCCAGGGCAGCCCCATGCCCCTGCCTGAGAGGCAGTAGGATCTGCAGTCAGATTTGCTCCTTCTGGGGGAGGTAGGTGCTTCCTAGGAAGGAGAGGTCTGGGTCCTGATTCAAGGAGCAAGTTGGGCAGGCCCCTTCTGCTCCCTTGTTTCCTGGGTTTCTGGCCCAGAGGGAAGAACTTTCTTATGGGGATCCCTTCTCTTCATTCTGCAGGTGGGGTAGAAGATGGTTCTTAGGAACCTCTTGTAACTGTGCTGATGGCAGAGATACCTGAACTTAACAGTACCCTTCACACCCAAGGTTCACCAGAGGGGAAATCATCTGAGGGGTAGAGCGAGTTGCTCAGGAGTTCCCTTTCCCTAAAATTTCAGCATGTTGGCTGAAATGACCGCAATGACCAGGGCCGACCTGCCACCTCAGAGTTCAGTTTGATAGAGGAGGAAGAAAAAGAAGACAAATTAAGAGGTCCTTGCAACACACTGCGATATGATAGGTGGTGTGAGTAGAAGCCCAGGAGGCATTGCTTCTGCAAGATGATGTGGGTTTTCCAGAGGAAATCATGACAATAGAGCATTGTGAGATGCTCTGGCATCAGAAAAATTTGAGATTAGGGTCCTGGAATATGACTTGACCTCTGTGCAAAATAAAACCTTTTGATATTTTCTTTCAGTCACAGGATGGCTGCCAGAGCTGGAAACATGTTTCCTGTGCTCTTGTTTGAGGAAAAATATCAAAGGTTTTATTTATTAATAAATATTGGGGACTTAAGTTTTTTTACAGGTAATATGTACTTGCACATGGTAAAAATTCAAGCAGTATAAAAGTATATATATAGCACACAAAGTCGGCTTGCCTTCAGACCCCCGCCCCTCCCCAGGAACAACTACCCTTAAAAGTTTCCATTTTGTAGCCCTGGCCAGGTGGCTAGGTTGCAGCATTGGCCCATACACCAAAAGGTTGTGGGTTTGATTCCTGGCCTGGGGGCATACTGATTGTGTTCTTTATTAATTACTATTTTAAAAATGAGTGATATTTAGCTCTGTCTGGTGTGGCTCAGTGGATTGAGTACTAGCCTGTGAACCAAACGGTTGCCAGTTCGATCCCTAGTCAGGGCACATGCCTGGGATGCTGGCCAGGTCCCTGGCTGGGGGCCTGAGGAGGTGGCCCATGGATGTATCACCCCCACATTGATGTTTTTCTCCCTCTCCTTTTCCAACCCTTTTCCTCTCTCTAAAAATAAATAAAATCTTTTAAAAAATAAGTAAAAATGAATGACATTTGATAGGACTGTCAACTCAACCTCTATGGCAACAATATCACTATCAATCAAAATGAAAAATTCAACATGCCCTTTCACAAATTATTTCATGTCTACAAATTATTCTCCTGCATATGCATGAAAAAACATTGTTAAGTATTGAAAGGTAGAAGCCCCGCACTCCGCCACGTTTCCGCTCTTGGTCCTGCCCCCAACACGAGCCCTCAGGGGTGGTCATCACACCTGCTTCACCCTCTGGGCTCTGCCGTGGTCCCCAGCCCGGGCCCTCCACGTCTGCTTCCGGTTCTGCTCCCTGGCCCGTCACCACCCCAGCCACGCCTTTTGAGTTCGGTCCCAGTCCAGAACCCTAAACTCGGCTTTGTGGCTTGTCCTGGTCCTCACCTCTGTCAAAGGCGCTTCCTGTCACTTGGGAGGTTGGTCCTGGTCCCAAGCCCCGCCCCCAAGGGGGGGGTCTCACCTTTCTTAAGCCCGCCCCTAACCGCCCCTGCCCCGCCCTTAGCCACGCCCCCTGGTGCGTCAGTGACCCCCCGCAAGGCCTTCTCGGCTTACTACTGGTTGGAAGCTCATCTTAGGCGTCTGGAATCCCCAGACTGGGACTCGACCACGTTCCCTCTGAAGGAAAGCTGAAAGTCTCGGCGGCTACCGGAGGCCGCCCTCTCCCTGCCCGCACCCCACTACCCTCGCCTCCTGAGGCGCTTCCAGGAGGAATCACGGAGTTCCTTTACCAGAAGTGGCACTGTGTGTCGGCGGGATCATGGCGACTCTTTCGGACTTGCCAGACTTGGTTCTGTTAGACATCTTTTCTTATCTCCCCGTTCGGGACCGGATTCGCCTCTCCAGGTGCGGCCTCGCCTCCTCGTTGGGAGGGCGGGAGGGAAAGGCCGGGCAGGGTCGGGGTTGTTCTAATGCCATTTGCCTTCCTCAGGGTCTGTCGCCGTTGGAAGAGGCTGGTGAACGACGGGTGGCTGTGGCGACACATTGACCTGTCAGTCTACAAGGTAAGTGAAGGTAGCGGGGCGGGCTTGGGCCACGGGCAGGCTGCTGGACCTCAGGGACTAGCCCCCTCCTACCCTGGATTTCCAGCCGGGCTGTCCTGGGCACATCCCCGCTGTTTTCACCTACGTGTTTCTTTGCGACCTCCTGGCCTCAGTTTCCCCATCTCCGAAGGGAGGATAGCCCAGATTGTTAGGAAATGGGATTACATAGTCAACATATGATAAATGCTGGCAGATGACTAGATTATCACTTGTGATTATTATTATTGATGAGTTTTCACGGGAAAATAATTTTCCATAGTCAACTTATTTCCAGAGTTAATTTCCTGAGTAGTGCAGCTGAACCATTTCCACTTTCCACCATTTGCATTTTTTGTTTTTATTGTGAACTATATAGAAATGTATAAAGGATAACATGGTTTCAGAGAAACAGATACTCACCACCTAGATTTAAGCTGGTTTACTCTTTAGCCTAATTTATTGAGGATCACATGAAACGTACACACACACAACACTTATAGATATATTTTTTGCCTTTTTTGAAACGAAACCTTCCTCAGAGGAACCACTATATAAAATGGAATCGTAGCTTTCCTTTGGCGTTTTATTTACTTCCTGTTTGTGTGCCCATAAGCCATATACAGTACTGTTAATGTGTTTCTAAAGTTTACATAATGCTAATCTATTTAGAAAATTAAATGCTGTTTTACCTATATTTCCACCCACAACTAGCTTTATTCACATTACATCACTTAAAAAAATTATTTTAGAGAGAGAGAGGAGAGGAGAGGGAGAGAGAGAAAGGAACATCACGTTGTTGTGCAGGTTCCATTCCCAGTCAGGGCACATACCCAAATTGCAGGTTCGATTTGGTCAGGGCACATAATAGAAGGAACCAATGCATGTTTCTCTCTCGCACTGATGTTTCTCTCTCTCTCCCTCTTCCTCTCTAAAAGCATTTTAAAAAATGTCCTCCTTGAGTATTAAAAAAAACCCCAAAACTCGCAAAGTGGAAAGTTTTGTTTTGCAAGTTTGACACTAATTCATTTGTTGTCAAAACCTGACCTGAAGTGGGGTGAAGATATTGTCCTTTTTCTTATTTCATTTAGAATAGTCTTATGTTATACTGAGTAACAGTAATCCGATAACAGGGGGCTGACCTAGACCCCACTAATGGTATCGTAATGGTGTCTGAACCACGTTAATTCTGATTTCTGAAACCCATCTGTCCACAAGGGTTTTGGATAAGGAATTGTGGCACTGTATAGAAATTATTTTTATTGAGATTACTTTTTAAAAATGATTATTTTTTCTGTATTATTTTTTTCCTATTATCTTATGAAAAATTTTAAAAAATACATAAAAGTTGAAAGAATAGTACAGGGAACACCAAGATACGCCACCATTTATAGGGAACTACATTTGTTTTATCACCTGTTGATCCATCCATTCATCCCTCTTTCCATCCACCAATCCATTTTATTTTCTAAATACATTGCAAAATAAATTGCAGATAAAACAAAGGAAAATAAAAAATGTTGAAGTATTACTACAGATGAAGCTAAGAGCCTTTGATGGTTGTTTCCTGGTGCCCTTAACCCTTCCCCAGAGTAACCAGGATTCAAAACATGCAAAATAATAAAAGGTGGAAAGGAGTGTCTCCCCCCATCAATCTTGTCACCGAGGTCACCCTGGCTTTTCCCCCAGAGGCAGCAGATGCTCCCGTTTTTCTTTGGAATCCTTCTGGAGGTATTTTCTGCATGCAAAAACACAAATATCTATCTCAAAAAGCAAAACAGGTGGTAGTGGGTATCTACATTTAAAATTTTAATAGAAATCACCAGATTGCATTCCAAAGTAGCGAGATCAGTTCCCACCAGCAGGGCTCAAGAGCTGGTTCTCCACATGTTGGCTAATACTTGATATTCTGAAACAAAAAAATTTGTCCTTTAAAGTTGCAGGTTTAAAGTTGGCTAGGAAGATGTGATTCCTCTGTGAAAAATAAAACAAGATTTATGCCGTGTTTTCTTTTTATTTTTTTTCTAGGTAAAATGTACATACAGTGTACAGGGAATTAGATTAGAGGGGCTTGAAGGCCAAAGGTAGAGAGAGGGCAATGGCCTGCATTGGCACAGTGCTATCTGTCAGTTGCTTGTTTTCTCAGTCTAACTTCTCAGGGCTACTTTTTTACAGTTTTTGCTATTGCTAGGCTGCGATTTTTTTTTTTTAACCTAGAACTGATGTACCCTGGGCAGTTTTAGCTTTTTTCAGTTTTCTTTTACATTATTTCTTTCCGAGGTGGTCATTAAAATAGGGATAAAAATCGTGGTTACTTACTCCAGAACATAAAGAGAATCCACTCTGTTGCTAAAGACAGAGTTATAGGTCTGTTATAGTCTTTTTCTGTCATTGTTTTTATTCAAATCTGGAAGTCAAAGTGTTGGAGTTAAATTGTTTTGTTACCCTGGACGAGTGTCTGGTCAGGTGAAGTTGGTGGTGGGAGGATAATTCCAAGGGAGCAGTAGACTCCAGATTCATCTGACTGGGGTTCATCTGACTCCAGATAGGTGAGGACTCCAGATAGGTGAGGACCTTGGAAGACCCCTGTATGTCTCACCTGGTCACCCCTATCTTTGGCTCTTAGGTGCGGCCTAAAGTCATATGGCACCTCCTTCACCGGTACATGACACCCCGCCTCCATTCTCTGCGCCTGGGTGGCTACCTGCTCTCAGACTCCCAGGCTACCCAGTTGTCCCCAGCCCTGATGAATGCTCTGGGCCAGAAGTGCCCCAACCTGAAGCATCTCTGCCTGCATGTGGCCAACCTGAGCATGGTGCCAGTCACCAGTTTACCTTGCACCCTGAGGACCCTGGAGCTGCACAGTTGTGAGATTTCCATGGGCTGGCTCCTTGAGAGGCAGGACCCCACCGTGCTGCCTCTACTTGAGTGCATGGTGCTGTCTCGCGTTCCTGCCTTTCGGGATGAGCATCTGCAGGGCCTGACTCGCTTTCGCGCCCTGCGCTCACTGGTGCTGGGCGGCACCTACCGGGTGACTGAGACAGGATTGGATGCAAGCCTGCAGGAGCTGAGCTACCTGCAAAGGTTGGAGGTTCTGGGTTGCACCCCCTCAGCTGACAGCACCCTCCTGGCCATCAGCCGCCACCTCCGAGATGTTCGGAAGATCCGGGTGACCATCAGAGGCCTCTCTGCCCCTGGTCTGTCAGTTCTGGAGGGAATGCCAGCCCTGGAGAGTCTGTGCCTGCAGGGCCTGCACATCACCCCGGAAATGCCTTCCCCAGCAGAAATAATCTCCTCCTGCCTCACTATGCCCAAGCTTAGGGTCCTGGAGCTGCAGGGGCTGGAGTGGGAGGGTCAGGAGGCAGTGAGGATCCTACGTAAGGGCCTGCCCCACTGTCTGGTCATTGTCAGGGCCTGCCCCAATGAGTCTATGGACTGGTGGATATGACTCACCACCTGACCCTGAGGTGTAACAGTTTTTATCAATGAGACCCAAGCCCTTTAGGCAGCATCTTGCAGCTGGTAGGTAATTTGATTAGAGGGCCTGAAGGCCAAAGGTAGAGAGAGGTCAATGGTCTTGGCACCGTCAGACCATTGGAATTGTTTGCCACCTGTGTGGCCTCTGTGACATCAGCTGGCCTGCCCCCCACATTTGGAAATGGGGAAGACCATAGCTACCTCTTGGTTATATTGCAAAGCCTTACACATTCCTGGGTCCGAAAAGGTCCTCAGTGAAGGGTCATTGTCAGGCAGCCCTCAGGAACAGGAGGGATGCAGAAGGGTGTGGTTAGGAGTTAGGGGGACCTGAAGGGATAGGGGCCCTTAGGAAGCCTGGAAGGACTGAGTACATGTGCAACCATATACCTACACACCGATTATACCTACATGCATGGATTAAAGTGTTAATGAATTTTATTTTTTTTGTATTTTATATTTCTCTAGTTTTCCACAATATATATTACTTTACTATTAAAGAAAAATACACTTATTTTTTTTTAGAAAAAGAAAGCATTCAGTTTATTCAACACACATTTCTAAGCCCCTACAATTTTGCAGGCACTGCCCTAGGTGCTGGGTCACAGCAGTGACCAAACAGACAAGACCTGAGAAGACAGGGTGGTAAACACATGAGCACGTCCAGGGAACAGTTTCAGAAACCGAGACAATAAGCCAGGGTCACGTGATGGAGGTGCATGTTTTGTAGAGTGGGCCTCTGAGCTGCGTTGGGTAACCAGCCCTGGGGAGGGCTGGGGAAGATAGAAAAGGCAAAGTTGCTGAGATGGAAATGATCTTAGCATTTCCACGAACTGGACGAAAGTCCCCGTAGTTGAAGGAACGAGGAGTGAGCAATAGGAGTGAAGTCGGAGATGATGGGGTGAGGTTGGAGAGGGCCTCACAGGTGGCTCTGGTTTTAGGGGCTCCTCTTCCTGCCTTTTGAGTCTGAACCACTTGAAACATGCAGGTGGCAGACTGATAGTGATCATGGGCGCCACCTGGTGAGATGAGCGTTACTTCTGAGCCCAGCGAGGTAGGAGGTCTCTTCCGCCTCACCATCTGCCCCCTCAGCCAGTCGGCCTGCTCTGTGGTGGGCAGAGCCAGGAGACAGAGAAGGGGGCTGAGCTGGGTAACCTTGTGTGTTGCCACCCTTCAAGGCCAGGCAGGTTCATGGTATTTGTGCAGACGGAAAAAGATTCACAGGGACTTTGAGATGTCTGCCGTGCATTTATTCATGGGTGGGTGAGCCACGCATGCTGCAAGCATGTCTATATGCATGTCTCATGTCATGGCCCCTGCTCCCCAGCGTGGCCCCCATCATGGCACCTGTCCCTTTGTATGTGTCTCCCATCATCACCCCTAGCAAGGAGTCCCTACCTGTTTAAGTACTAGAGGGGAACAAAGCTGGCAAGATGCCAGAATATTACATAACATAACATTATTCTGCACATGTGAACCCACTTCATGTTATGGGAACAGTTTATTGGACCCAGTCTCAAGGCTGTGAGAACACTGGTTATCAGGCCCCTCCAAGGCTATGGGAACACTGCTCCACTTAGTCACCCAGACACCTGGGTGGGGAAGCCAGCCTGCCTGCACTCACCCTACACCTTGATTCCTTATTTCAAGTGCACCTGTCAGAGAAGACCCAGGTGTTTCTCCCATGCTTTTCCCACTGCAGGTTGGAGTGGAGATTCCCTCCCCATCTGGCTGCATGAGCATTGGGGTATGAGTTCTCCCCTAGTGTGGCCATAGTTAGGGTCTACTGGTCCCACACCACAACAAACCTGGCAGTTCCAGCTCAGCCCCTGGGGCACTGGGTTGATCCAGGCTGTGGCATGGGGACTGGAGAAATGTCAGGTGGGGATATGGGGTCTTTCTGGAGACCTGGGATTGATTGTAGGGACTGTGATGGAAGGGCCAACACCAATCCTGGGCCGGCCCTGCTGGTGGTCCTGGAGGTGGGCTGTAGATGCCCCACCTAAAGCCGTTCCAGGGGGAAAAAGCTTCTTTCCTTTCACTCTGCCTTTCTAAGAGGAACAGAGAAGCAGATGTGAAGTTTGCATCAGTGGTGCACACATAAACATTTAACAGTGTTATCAGGTGGTGGTGGGGGGAAGCCCTGATTTGTAGGGTTAGTAGAGGGCAGATTTCTGTGGTGTAAATACTGCCATCTTGGCTGCTTTCAAGCTACCAACAGTTTAACAGCTGATTCACAAAATTCCTGAAAGTTTAGTAATAGGTAGTCCTGAGCTGCCATGAAGACAGCACTGGTTAGAGGGGTCTTCTAGAGGACTCACTCTGCCTTCGTGACCCCTTCCTGGGCTTAGCTCTGAGGGGTGGTGGGGTTATGGGATGTCAGACAGCTTCCTACTTCTTGATATCCCCCACCCTTAACCATGGTCTTCTCCTGGATAAGGGGCTGCAGCCTTAACAATACCCTCTATTCGACAATGTATGTGGGATTTTTTTCAATCATGGGTAGTAAGGCGAGTGACAGGCAGACAACTGTCTGAAAAAAAGTTTGTTACATACAATTCCCAAGAGAAGGGGGCATGCCTTGCCACTCATGGCTGCGCTGGGGTGCACCGGAATTGCTCAGAAAGTGAGGGTAAAGCATGGGCAGAGGCTTTGTTATGACTTTTGTGGGAATGAAAGGGCGAAGCAGGGTAAGCAAGTTTACAGTTGGCTAATTTGAATAATTTCAGTGGGCCCTAGGGGTGGTCCCTAGTTGTCTGTTACGTGGCCCTGGGGTGATGTAGGTCAAAGCGTGTATTGGTTTAGAGTGGAAGAGATAGATAGGTTGAATTGGTTAGTTTGCATTTGAAAGGTGTGCCTGGAAGGCAAGTTGTTGTCTCCAGGAATTATCTAACCCTTGTTGGGGTGGTCCTTCCCCAGGTTTGGAAGGCCCTAAGATGTCAAAGCATCATAAAATATAGAAAATTAAAAAGCATGATCAATACACTCTCTAGTACAGGTTAAGGACAACCACAACAGCTGACAGTATTATTTTTTTAAAATATATTTTATTGTTTATGCCATTACAGTTGTCCCATTTCTCCTCCCATTCCTTTCCACCCTGCACACTCCCTCCCCCACCATTCCTCCCCTTTAGTTTATGTCCATGTGTCACAAGTTCTTTAGATTCTATAATTTCCATACTATTCTTGCCTTCCCCCTGTCTAGTCTCTATCTACCGTCTATGCTACTTATTTTCTGCACCTTCTCCCCCCTTCTCCTCCTCCCACTCCCCTGTTGCTAACCCTCCATGTGATCTCCATTTCTATGGTTCCTCTCCTGATCTAGCTGTCCTTTTAGTTTGCTTTTGTTTTAGGTGTGGTTGTTAATAACTGTGAGTTTGCTGTCCTTTTACTGTTCATATTTTTTATCTTTTTCTTAGATAAGTCCCTTTAACATTTCATATAAAGGCTTGGTGATGGTGAATTCCTTGAATTTGACCTTATCTGAGAAGCACTTTATCTGCCCTTCCATTCTAAATGAAAACTTTGCTGGATAGAGCGTTCTTGGATGTAGGTCCTTGCCTTTCATGACTTGGAATACTTCTTTCCAGCCCCTTCTTGCCTGTAAGGTCTCTTTTGAGAAATCAGCTGACAGTCTGATGGGAACTCCTTTGTAGGTGACTGTACCCTTATTTATCTCTTGCTGCTTCTAGGATTCTCTCCTTCATTTTAATCTTGGATAATGTAATTATGATGTGCCTTGGTATGTTCCTTCTTGGGTCCACCTTCTTTGGAACTCTCTGAGCTTCCTGGACTTCCTGGAAGTCTATGTCCTTTGCCAGATTGGGGAAGTTCTCCTTTATTATTCAAATAAGTTTTCCACTTGTTGCTGTTCCTCTTCCCCTTCTGGTACCCCTATAATTCAGATGTTGGAACGTTTAAAGATGTCCTGGAGGTTCCTAAGCCTCTCCTCATTTTTTTGAATTCTTGTTTCTTCATTCTTTTCTGTTTGGTCATTTTTCCTTCCTTCTCCTCCACTTCCTTGATTTGAGTCCCAGTTTCCTTTCCATCACTATTGGTTTTCTGTGCATTTACCTTCATTTCATTTAGTTTAGCCTTCATTTGTTCCTCTAATATGCGACCAAAACCAACCAGTTCTGTGAGCATCCTGATCACCAGTGTTTTAAACTGTGCATTTGATAGGTTGGCTATCTCTTGGTTGCTTAGAAGTATTGGCTCTGGGGCTTTGAGCTGTTCTTGAGCCATAATGTTTTGGTTTGTTGGCACCTGTTACATATGAGGGGCGGAGCCTTTGGTGTTCACCAGGGCAGGGCAACACAGTTGCTGGGTTGTGATGCTGTATGTGGGGTCAGAGAGGGACGCTGGCGTTTTTTTCAACTCTTTCTCGGATTTCGGTCCCCTCTGCTGCTTCCCCCAAGCAAATTGGGCCCTTCTGGTGCTGGTTCCTGGGTATATGGGCTTGTGCACCCTCCAGGACCCTGTGGGTCTCTCCAATGAACTCTCTGTGAGCCTGTGAACCAGGGAGCTTCTCCTGGCGCCTCGACCCTGAAATTTTTTTCCATTTGGTGCTTTTAGGCTTTATTTCCTGGTGCTGGGGTCCTGGTTTGTGCCGTCTATCTCACTCCTCTGCCTGGTTTATCTGCGCACGAATGTGTGACTGCAGTCAGCCAGGCACCTTGCACCTTCACTGGGTCTGCCTGTTGCCACCCCACACCTGGGATCCGCCATCTGCCACCTGCGCACCCTGGGTTGGTCAGGCCGCTTTTTCCTGCCAGACCCCTTTCTGCCAGCCGCTGGCTCCACCCCTCTTACCAGTCTGGCTGAATGGTTTGTTGTTGTCAGACTTCCATACAGTTCAATTTTCTGTGTTTTAGTTGCATTTTTGTTACTAAAACTTTGTTGTCTTTAAACTTGGTTTAAAGTGTTTCTACCTACACCTCCATCTTGGCCGGAAGACCAGCTGACATTATTGAATGTTATTTTGTGTCAGGCGCTGTACTCAGTCCTTCTTGCTTGACTTCGCCTCCTACCAGCACCCCAATGAAGAAGGTACAGAGGGAGAAACTGAAAATCAGAAAAGTTAAATTGCCCAAAGTCATATAGCTGTTAAAAAGAGTAGAACTTGACCCCTGGCTGGTGTGGCTCAGTGGATTGAGTGCTGACCTGCTAACCAAAGGGTTGCCAGTCTGATTCCCAGTCACAGCACATCCCTGGGTTGTGGGGCCAGGCCCCCAGTGTGAGGTGTGTGGGAGGTGGCCACTCACTAATGTTTCCCTCTCTTACTCTTTCCTTTTCCCTCCCTCTAAAAATGGATAAAATCTTTAAAAAAAGAAAAAAAGCAGAATTTGAGTAACCTTATTACACAACCTTAACCATTATGTAAAGTGGCGTTGTTGATGCATAACAGTATCCGAAAGGATGGCTCTGTGACTGTGCCCC